ATCTCAACTTTCAGTATTCATATCTCAACATTCAGCATTATCCTCAAATCATAAGTCCTCAAATCATATTTAAACGTTTAGAAATGGCTTTAAATGTGAATGTGAATAATAACCTTTTGAAAGACTCGACTTATCAAGTCGCGGTAGAGATCGAAATGGACGTGAACTATGTTCGTGTTTGTTATTTCTATGCAAGAAGCATACGTAGTTTTGTACGTAGGGGCAATACCCTACCTCACTTTCGTTATCCATATCTCCTTTCAAGCTTTCATACTCTCATTGGACATTTTTATCCGCACTTCATACCTCATTCTAAGCATTTATTCTTCATAATTAGAATTCACATTTCTACTTTCAGTATTCATACACCCACTTTCAGCATTCATACTCAAACTTTCAGTATTCATATCCAAACTTTCAGCATTCATACCCAAACTTTCAGCATTCATACTCAAACTTTCAGTATTCATACTCAAACTTTCAGTATTTATAGCTAAACTTTCAGTATTCATAGCCAAACTTTCAGTATTCATAGCCAAACTTTCAGTATTCATAGCCAAACTTTCAGTATTCATAGCCAAACTTTCAGCATTCATAGCCAAACTTTCAGTATTCATAGCCAAACTTTCAGTATTCATAGCCAAACTTTCAGCATTCATAGCCAAACTTTCAGCATTCATACCCAAACTTTCAGTATTCATAGCCAAACTTTCAGTATTCATACCCAAACTTTCAGCATTCATAGCCAAACTTTCAGTATTCATATCCAAACTTTCAGTATTCATACTCAAACTTTCAGTATTTATAGCTAAACTTTCAGTATTCATAGCCAAACTTTCAGTATTCATAGCCAAACTTTCAGTATTCATAGCCAAACTTTCAGTATTCATAGCCAAACTTTCAGTATTCATAGCCAAACTTTCAGCATTCATAGCCAAACTTTCAGTATTCATAGCCAAACTTTCAGTATTCATAGCCAAACTTTCAGCATTCATAGCCAAACTTTCAGCATTCATAGCCAAACTTTCAGTATTCATAGCCAAACTTTCAGTATTCATACCCAAACTTTCAGCATTCATAGCCAAACTTTCAGTATTCATATCCAAACTTTCAGTATTCATAGCCAAACTTTCAGTATTCATACCCAAACTTTCAGCATTCATAGCCAAACTTTCAGTATTCATATCCAAACTTTCAGTATTCATATCCAAACTTTCAGTATTCATAGCCAAACGTTCAGTATTCATACCCAAACTTTCAGCATTCATACCCCCATTTATAGTATAAGAGCCGTATGAAGCGCTCTTACCTTGCCTAAAGTTGAACTTTGGCTAAAGTCGATGTAAGTTATTAGGTCCTTCCTCTGAACGTGCATTTTAAGATTTATATAGTACGTAACTGATTACTGGAAATCACGATGTTTCCTTTTAACAGGCATATGAGAAAATGAAATAAAGTTTTAAGTCTAACGCTTAGATTACGCTTAAAGATTATGCTTATGCAGATGGACAACACCATGCAGTGTGCAATGCCAGAAAGCTGTAGGATACTTAAGAAAGGACTGTTATCGTATGTTAAAAAAGATATTTTTCAATGTCCTGACGCATTGGCTGATGTTTCGAACAGAAACTATTAGAGTATCTTTATTTAATCATAGATCAGCTTGGCCCCATTCTTACAGATCGGTGCTTCTGAACATTTATGATCCAAGAAAAAATGTTTCCGCCAATCACCCCTAGCACTGTCAAACATCAAATAAATAAAAAGCTAAAAAGTGAAACATGCCAGTAAGGTTGTGTTTCAAACTAATATTTGAACATAGGTCATGATTTTATACATAAAGCGCAATGGAGATGCCAATGCCCTTCAGTGTAAACCTTTCACTTGGTGCTCTTAAACGAAGGTATAGCCGTATCTTCAAGCGTTTATCGCCGAGTCCAGACTGCCTCTTTTTCTTAGTTAAGATACCCGGTTCGGTGCTGAATGCACACCCACAAGAAACTAAGTTTAATTTGGATAGTGTTTGATAATTGTTTTGCCACGCCTTAAGAACTGTTGCTTTTCTCCAGGTGGAAAACATCAGCTCAATTTGTTGCTCAATCCCCCCCCCCCCCATTCACAAAATCCCCCCTCAATTCAACCTCATTACCCCGACAAAATTTGAATTCACCCCTAGACATGCAACTGGACCCCGGTTGAGAAATATTGAATAAATCGTACTGAAAAGGTTGAGTATGTCAGAAGGCTTACTGAAATCTGTACAATAAGCGTGCAAACGGTAAAATGTAAGAGTGGCTAACCTTGGAATCGCTTATATGAATGATTCGATCCTCCATGAAATGAAAGGCTTTTTGGCGCCCATCGATGTCTTACAAAGTAAAAGAGTGTTCAATCGATTGGAGAGTTGCTTTCACAAAGTCCTTCGAAGAAAAGGCCTTCATGTTTCCGACATTAAGGCTCAAAGAATAAAAAAGACAAAACAAGATATATATTTTGTAACAAAATCATTTATTTCCATTTTTTCAATTCTAGAATCACCATTGATTACTGGAATCTGAAAGTAAAATAATACAAAAATACTATACGCTGTTATACTAAATCAGAAAGTATCCATCAGCCCTTTGTCCTCTTATCCTTGCTACCTTTCATAGTTTTTCTCTCAAACTAACCATTCAAAATACAGAGTGTGATCTAGCTAATTGTGTTTGGCTCAACGACAAATTAAAATGACAAAATGAATCGGCGTACTAATCATAAGTTAAAACGGAATACATTTTACCTTATTTTTTACCCATCATACCAAGACCGCCCATCATACCGTAACCACCGAGCATACCGAGTCCACCATATCCCATCATGTAGGGGTTCATCATTCCCATCATACCTAAACCTCCCATACCCATCATGTAGGGGTTCATCATACCCATCATATAGGGGTTCATCATACCCATCATGTAGGGGTTCATCATTCCTAAACCACCCATCATCAGGGGGTTACCAGCCAAGGCCATGGATACAAAGGCCAAACAGAGAACGACGGCAAAGATCTTGTTCATTTTGGTTTCTGGAAAATAGAATATTGTATTATATTATAGCTGTTCTTTCTCAGTAAACTGGTTTTCATTTGATCCAACGTTGTTTTCTTGTATTTTTACTTATTTAAGTTTGTATATCACAAGGCTATGGAATAATATAGGGTTGTCTACTTACCAGGTATAGCTGATGAAGCTGTGGTGTTGGTAGTTAGAAGGTTGTAAGAATTGTGATACTCTACCTTCATTAACACACCATATTTATACTCTTTAAAACTCTGTTACATCACCATTTTAATTTTGAAATTTAATTAATCACCATCTGCTGATATCTAAGATTATTTTTGTGATATTATGTAATTCATTAATCAGTTTTTAATTAGAAATATTTGATATCTTCCTAAAAAAGGAAGAAAGTATGAGTTTATCATTAGATATAAATCATCTTGACATGAAAGATGATGGTCTATACTATCAAAACAAACAAAATATCATGAATATCAATAGTTTTACACATTTTCCTTCTTCATTCCTGTTTTGATATACGTAGCTTCTCATTTTAAAATTTCTTTTTATCACATTTATCGTTTACCACCTTTAATTTCTATAATTTTCTTTTTTCCGTCCATACAACTTTCATATTCCATATTCAAATTCTCACTAATGGAATTCTATATTCCCTCAATCAGTTCTAATATTCTCATATTACCTCAATCAGTTCTCATATTCTCACAATCAGTTCTAATATTCTCATACTCCCTCAATCAGTTCTTATATTCTCAAATTTCCCTAATCAGTTCTAATATTCTCACAATCAGTTCTAATATTCTCATATTCCCTCAATCAGTTCTCATATTCTCACAATCAGTTCTAATATTCTCATATTCCCTCAATCAGTTCTCATATTTTCTCAATCAGATCTCATATTCTCACAATCAGTTCTAATATTCTCATATTCCCTCAATCAGTTCTCATATTGTTATATTCTCACAATCAGTCCTTAAATTCTCATAATCAGTCCTTAAATTCTCACAATTAGTTCTCATATTTTCACAATCAGTCCCCAAATTCTCACTATCAGTTTTCATATTCCCTCAATCAGAAATTTAATATCCTCACAACCAGTTCTCATAATCTTACCCACACTCAATTCTCATATTCCCATAATCAGATCTCACATTGTTACTTCCAATTTCTCATATTATTACCTCAATCAATTCTCACAATCAGTTGTCATATTCTCACAATCAGTTGTCATATTCTCTCTTTCAGATCTCATATTCTACCTTTCACATATTGCCACTTCCAAGCTCTCATACTTCCATTCGGGTTTTCATCTCCTCATTTTCAGTGTTCATATTCCAACCAAGTGCATTCACAACCTATTTTCAGCATTATCATCGTCATAATCTGACTTTCAGCATTCATACCTTTACTTTCAGCATTCATACCCTTACTTTCAACATTCATACCATTAACATTATTTAGCATTCACACCTTACTAAAATCATTCATATCATTAACATTTAACATTCATACCCCTACTATCAGCATTCATACTCTTACTATCAGCATTCATACCTTACTAAAATCATTCATACCATTAACATTTAACATTCATACCCCTACTAAAAAGTGTTTAAGGTAGTACCTTAGTTTTGGTCGCTCACATCCATAAGATGCAATACTGGTACTAAGTCTGACCCAAATCTAATCTAGTGTTTCAAGAAGATACAAGTTCAAACCATTAGCCACATCCTGTTAAATGGTCTTGACTCGTTGGATACACTACATGATGGTAGTGAAAAGATGGAAACAAGTGCATGAAGTGATTGTGAAAACTGCCAAGTTACAATGCTAATATCACTGTTACTGAAACTTAGCGTGGGTGAAGCAAGGTCCAACGTTACTTTGTGTCCTTTAATTGTTTTTTATATGCACTATTTTCTTTGACTATTTCTAAGTCTGTTATCGATCTCTTTGTCGATCATGGATTCCGATGAGATGGTGCACCCCAGTTGGGTTAACTGATGAACTGATTTACATTTGGTCTCGCCAAATTATAGTATTCATACGTGGTTAATTGTGGACACACTTTGATTTGAAGGTTCAAATTTCGATTGTGAACTGTCCCTTATATATGAACTTTTGCAGCCAGCTTGAAAAAAAGGCCACCATGTTGGATTTTTACTTAGGCAATCGGGCAAATTCAATAAGTTATTTTGGAGAACAAGTGTGTCAATAGAAAACATTTGAATCGCGTTGTTAAGAAGGCTTTGACCAGCTGGTCAGGTCGGTAGGATTAACGACAGTTGACACAATGTATACTGTAGGATGCAGAATGATTGGTCAAGGATGCCATACAATATACTGATCCTAGCACCATGATGAAATGTGTAAAATCGATTGAAGAGTTGGTTCCACATATTCCTTCAAAGGAGAGACTCTTATGTGTCCCATCAAATTACCCAGAAAATGAAAGAACAAGATTCGTTTTATTTTGTAAAAAAATATTTATTTTCAATTTTCAATTACTTATTATACTGATGCCTGGAACCTGAAATTAGAATAAAACAAAACAACTTAAAATTTATCAACTGTTTGATCTAAATATTCATCCTCTGTTATCTTCCTTAGTATTATTTCTCAAACTGACAATCTAAAAGACCGGAAGTACTATTTCATATATGAAACTATGCGCCCATGACGCTAATTGTGTGTTTTTTGTGTTACATAACTCTGTAATATTGTTCACGTACCTTATTTTTTACCCATCATACCAAGACCTCCCATCATACCGTAACCACCGAGCATACCGAGTCCACCATATCCCATCATGTAGGGGTTCATCATTCCCATCATACCTAAACCTCCCATACCCATCATGTAGGGGTTCATCATACCCATCATATAGGGGTTCATCATGCCCATCATGTAGGGGTTCATCATGCCTAAACCACCCATCATCAAGGGGTTACCAGCCAAGGCCATGGAGGCAAAGGCCAAACAATGAACGACGGCAAAGATCTTGTTCATTTTGGTTTCTGGAAAAGAGAATATTTATATCATACAGCGGTTACCGACTATGAAATAATGGTCATTTTGAGTTAACTTTGTCCTTATTTTATTTAAATCTAACTCTCATAAGGCTGTGAAATTGTGTGTAGTTGTTTTACTTACCAGGTATAGCTGATGAAAAAAATATATTAACAGTGTTGATATCCCACATATAGAATTAATATCGCAATTTCTATATGTCTATACACCAACTTTTAACTTCAGTAGCCTATATGTTTCCAGTTTTAGCCTTCATTACCCAATTTTCTGCATTCATGCCCCACTAATTCACTAATCATACTTTAAGAATGGATACCCTTCTTTTAGTAGTTTATATACACACTTTCAACATCCATATACCTATTTTCAGTATTCATACACCAACCTTTAGTATTCATTTTCGTGCTTTAATGGATTGATACTCCACTTTCAGCATTTATATTCAAACCCCCATTTTCAGCATTTATACCCCAATTTTCATCATTGATATCCTACTGTCATCATTGATATCCTACTGTCAGCATTGATATCTTACTGTCAGCATTGATATCCTACTGTCAGCATTTATATCTTACTGTCAGCATTTATATCCTACTGTCAGCATTTATATCTTACTGTCAGCATTCATACGCCACTTTCAGTATTCATATCTTATATTTGTCATACATATAACTACTTTCAGTATTCATACACCCACGTTAATTATTCATTTTTATGATTTCAGCGTTCATACGCCATTCAGCATTCATAAAATCACGTTGAGTATTCAAACATCCAAACCCCCATTTTAGCATTCAAACCCTGACGCCTAGTATTCTACTTTCAGTAATTATACACATACTTCACTATCCAAACCCCTAAATTCAACATTCTTATCCCTACTTATATTATTCATATTTCCTCTTTCAGAACTACAATGTATCAATGTTACCAGTCTTAGTTTTCATAAACCTAATTCAAATTCCCCTTGATTCCCCCTATCATCGCCTAAAGCTCAGAAACATAGGCTAATAACCAGATGCGCAATCCATTTGACCAATCGTACCTTAGTCATACAGACGGGCATTTTTTGGTTAAGCTAATCAGTAATAGTGTTCACAAGTCACCGTCGAAATTTAAGCCTTTAAATCCATGTGTATCCGCGTTTGAAAGTTAAAATGACGAGTCGTCTTTTCTTGAGTCCATATATAGATAAGTCATACATAGAAATATAAAGTGAAATTCTTCGTTTGAGGTATTTACGAAGGAATTATGCGATTTTGGTACATTTCTAATACTGAAGACTATTTATATTCAGGCCACAAATCAACCCCCGAAATGGCAAAGTATGGCTTTTAATGATAGATGTGAAAGGGGGACAACTGTAACCTATACCGCACTCATGGTGAAACGTTAAAGGGTTTGTCTTGTCTTAATCACAGGTATGTGTATAATCGATGGG